CGACGCGGGGCTCGAACTCATGGGCTGCGAAATCATGACCTGAGCCGAAGTCGGTCCCTTAACCGACTGAGCCACCCAGGCGCCCCAAATTTCGTTTATTTTAAAATAAGCTCTATGCCCAACGTTGACTCGGACTCACAATCCTAGAAATCAAGTGTCATAGGCTCTCCTGACGGAACCAGCCAGCTGCTACCGCTCCCCTCCACCCCCGGCCACCCCAGGATATACTTTTAAGTAGAAAAAGCAAGTTGCAGAACAAAATGCTTGCTGGTGTTCCATATTAGGATAGGAAAAATAGGTTATAATTCTATTGTGTGTCACGTGTACACATGGAAATGTCTGGAAAGATAATATCAAAGTTAACAGTGATGTTGGAAGTTAACTTTATGTAATAATCTTCTCTTAATATTGTACAAATAGCTTTTGTTTTTTTAAGGGAATGACAAAGTCACACTGAGATGTAAGAACGAGCCCCCAAACTTAATATTTCCCTGTAGTTCAATGACCTGAACTTCACCCTGATGTTCTTCCCGTCAGAAATGTTGTTAAAGAGAATATTCAAGAAGGAGACCATCTCGACCTTGGCTGATACGTTTCAGGAAAATAGGAAATCTTTTTTAAGAATGCAACTATAGGAGTGGTTGGCTGGCTCAGTTGAAAGAACATGCGACTCGATTTTGGGTCGTTGAGTTTGGAGCCCCACCTTGCGTGTAGAGATTACTTAAATAAATAAATTTTAAATAATGTAATTATCGATTTTTAGGATTCTTCCAAATAGATATATACCTCTAAATTCTGACATGCAAAGGGGTTGAAGATAGAATGCTAAGTGGAGCAAAAAACAAACAAAAAAAACTCTCAGAAGAGAATGTATGGTATGATCCTGTTACAATATATATAAAAATTCACATAAAATCACCCAGGGGGTGCCTGGGTGGCTCAGTTGGCTAAGCATCTGACTTGGGCTCAGGTCCCGATCTCACAGATTGTGAGTTCTAGTCCTGCATCGGGCTCTCTGCTGTCCGTGCAGCGCTGGCTTTGGAGCCTCTCTCTGCCCCTCCCCCCTCTCGTGCACGCATGTGCACACTCTCTCAAAAATGAAAACATTTATAAAAAAGACCATCCAGGGGCGCCTGGGTGGCTCAGTCGTTAAGCGTCCGACTTCAGCTCAGGTCATGATCTCGCCGTCCGTGCGTCCGAGCCCCGCGTTGGGCTCTGCGCTGACGGCTCAGAGCCTGGAGCCTGTTTCAGATTCTGTGTCTCCCTCTTTCTCTGACCCTCCCCTGTTCATGCTCTCTCTCTGTCTCAAAAATAAATAAATGTTAAAAAAAAATTAAAAAAGACCATCCATATGACATATACTAAAATACCTGTAGAAATTAAACTGTGCTTACTAGATTTGATTTATTGTTCATTTCTCTATTGTTTAAATTTGTTCTCCATAGCACGTTTTAGTTTTGCAGTCAAAAAGGTCCAGGCAGCTTCTTTCTGCCTGTAGGCGCCCTGTGCTTTGATGAAAACACCTTTCTGTACTGGGGTGGGGAGGGTGGGGAGAGGCCCAATCTCTTAAAAACAATAAACCCAGACTCTGGTTCCCTGATGATAGTGGGGTTCCCTGAGGTGTTTTGTCTTTACCCTGACAGGTGCCTGTTTGAAGACACAGGAGGTGACTGGCATTTCCAAAATGGCTAATCTCCAAAAGAAAACGCTAAACACCAGAAATTCCTTGTTCCTTCTTTTCTTTCAATCCTTCTTTTCCCCTTCTTTTCACTTCCAGAACCATGTTTTAAATGTAACAGGTGTTCTGCCACTCTAAATCTTTAATTCTTAGCCATTCCCTTGCCTATTCCCAATGTTTTATAGCTGAACTTAGTCCAAAGCAGAAACAAGCAGGATCAAGAGTGTAAAAACATCTGTTACATGACAAGGTTCAGTACTAGAGAGCTAACTGGAGTTTCTGAAGACTTTGCGGGGCCTGGGTGGCTCAGTTGGTTGAGTGTCCGACTTTGGCTCA